GTGTGTGAATGTGTGTGTGTTTGTTTAAGCATTTATACTATGTTTTGTGTGCACTTTGCTATCAGTGTTTACTGACATAATCAACGTTCCATTATTTTCTCTAATATGTGCACTCATTTTGGTGAAGTTTTTAAATTGTTCAGACTTCAGCTCCTAAATGAAAAATGGGATTTAATCCCAATCACATCAATAAGGGTAGCAGAAATATTTAGAGAAGGGCAGATTTTAAAAGGTGAGTTCTAAACACGTAGACTGATTTGAACAGGTGAAACGAAGGAAGACTGCATTAAAATAATACACTGTTGAATTTATCTGTACCCAATAGACACAATTGGCCTTCATTGATTGCCTACCTGTATTTTACTGGTGCTAGTTTATGTTTTCCCTATCACAAAAGACATCTATTAAGGAGGGACAGACAGTTTGTTCCCATTTATTTATTTATTTACTAGATTTTTTAAATCCCACTTTTATTACTTTATAAATAACTCAAGGCGGTGAACATACATAATATTCTTTTCTCCTTCTCTTTTTCCCAACAATAACAACCCTATGAAGTTGGTTGGGCTAAGAAAGAATGACTGGCATAAAGTCACCCGGATGGCTTTCATGCCTAAAGCGGAACTAGAACTCACAATCTCCTGGTTTCTAGGGCAGCACCTTAATCACAAACTGACTCTCTGAAGCCCAGAATTCTGGACTGCTTTCATGGTATAGAATTATGAATGAAATCTAGGAAGTTTTTCTACTATTATATGCAAAATGTTCCATTTTGAGGAGGCAAGCTTACCATGCTAATTTCTCTTCTCCTATTTCAGGTGGAGGGTTTACATGTACAGTAGGGGCCAAAATTGTGGAAACCTTTTGGGAAAAATATATTTTCTAAAACTAGCTAATAACACTACTTTTTTGGGGAAGTAGCACCATAAAATTATATGTCAATGGAAAGATAATTTAATCAAGAATGCAATGCAATAACTTTTATGAAGGATTTGCTATTAGAATAGCAGTTACAGTATAAAAAAGAAAAGTGAAACACGTAGAAAAAACGAGATATACAAAAATGATCACCCTGTCAGTTAATACTTAGTTAGTAACCTTTAGCATGAATTACGGCCTTACAACGTCTTCCCATGGAGTGAACCAAGACTTTTAGTTCTGCAGCTGTTATAATGTGAAACCAAGATTGAATGATTGCTTCCATTAACTGGGTTTTATTGCTGGGTCACTTCTGACTAACAAGTTTCTTCAGTTGGCTCCATAGACTTTCAGTTGGGTTAGGGTCTGGGCTATTCCCAGGCCATTCCAGCAGTGGAATAGGATTATCTTGAAACTCAAAAAAAAAAAAAAGTGTTGTTATTAGCCATCAAACCTCAAAAATACACTTTTCCCAAAGGGTTTCCACAATTTTGGCCACTACTGTATAAGGAGAAGAGCTAAACAGAGCTTTAATTTCCTTGTTCCCTGTCTTTGCTGCACTTCTAAGAACCAATATGTTCTTATCACACAACTGTCTTGCTTGAAATGGGGATGCTGGAGTCTGGATGTTTAGGATAAAAGGACATGCCACGAACTGTCTTGGCAAGATGTTGTACAGCAAGGTATTCAATTAACTAAGTCTCCAATGTCAATCAATATAGACAAAAGACTAACAGAGCCCTTCATGTATCTGGAGGTCTGGCCTGAGTTATGAGCCCCTGATTCAAAAAAACAATCCTCCAGGATAGAACACAAGATCTGCACCTTTCCCCTGAGTTGAAGAAGCTTCTGCTTACTGGAAGTGGATTTTACATGCCTTGAATAAAGCCAGAGATGTTTTGTAGGTAAACAGATATTATTTCTGCTTCCTCGATTCTTGCTTCTGTACTGCTGGGGCAATTCTCAATTTTTCTTCCTTCTGTGCATTAACTTGGATTGTTTGTGGAGGTTTCCTTTATTAACATCACTGTCTAACGTACGGGATATAAACAGGAGAAGAATTATCAGTGGGAAGGGTGCTCGGCAGCAAATTGATTGCGTTCTAGCTATCCTTCCTGGCAATAGACATTTATCCTTATTATTACATTTGGGCAGTGCACAATAATATCTTTCTTATTGGCAAATATTCTCCCCTGCCCCCTGCACTGTTTATCTGGATTGGCAGAAGCATGCATCAAAATGGATTTTTTATAAGATGTCAAGATTTGTTTTATCTCCATCTGGGGAAAGGATTTTCTTACACATAAAGGCAATGGGCAATCCTAATTGATGGGGATAAAGGAGAAGGATTAAAGGCCCTTTGTTGTTTGTAGAAAGGGGTGAGTGTGTGTGGAGAAGAAAAGAAACAACATTTTGGAATTGCGCAAGAGTGAAGTTTCTTCTCGAGCTGGCCATGGTGGACAGGAATTAAACTGTGGATCCTAATGGCTTCATCGGCTGACTTATGAGGACTTGATGGTATCTGGGGTTCTTTAAAACAATATATACAAGCCGTATTCAGAATTCAGTATTTCATATGGTCTTAAGATTTAAGGGTGAGTTTCAGGACTGCTGGACATCCATAAACTATGTGAAATTTGGCCCATGTGAGATTTTTTTCCCCTTGATATATGTCAAGTTTAGCAGCAATAATATCTTGATTGATATGATGGACTGCATTCAAAGCATGGGCCTTGTCACTAAGAGAAGCCATCTCTTCATTCTTTAAAGGAAGGATGGACAACCAGAAGTTCTGCAGCCAACTCCAGCATCCAACCCCATGCTTGAAGTCTTCAAAGTTATGCTGCTTAATTTTGCTTGCATAAAATCTGGGGTAAATTTTAGACTCTGACTAGGTGGCTCAGTGGCTAAGACACTGAGCTTGTCGATCAGAAAGGTTGGCAGTTCGGCAGTTCGAATCCCTAGTACAGGTCTCCTGCGTGAGCTGGACTAGATGACCTCCAAGGTCCCTTCCAACTCTGTTACTGTTAGACTTAATATAGATTGAAACTGAAAACTTGCAAAAAAGCTAAAATCTCTCCCCTACAAAAACCTGGGGGGAAAGTCTGGTCCTTTCCACATGAATCATTGGTTAAACAAAAACTTTGCCCATCAGAACATTTTCTCAAATAGCAAATGTGACCCCACCCAGTAGCATAACTTTGTTGCAAACACGCAGCTGGAAGTATTCTGGTTCTATCATTTTTGAGGCACCTTTATTTATGAAAAGAAAGGTGCAGAGAAAACCGCATTATGGAAATGTTGCCCTATGGAAACGTTGCAATAAAATAAACTTCTTGGGTGAAATGTGCAAAAAAGTAGATAGTCCATATATATTCTTGCAAGCATTTCTTCCAAGGTTTCTACCAAGATGCACACTTGGAAAAATAGTCCACCAAAATACACATGGAGCTTTATCAGGATTGAGCCAACTGAAACCAACAGATGGCTAGCAAAATATACAGTTGCGCCTAACCAAAATAGAAAAATTATATTTATACTCGGTTGTGTGATTCCCACCTGACCTTGCATTCCTTATTTGTAGTGACTTCTCCCCTTCTACTCTTTCTTGTCTACTTAAGACAGACTGCAGCCTCCTTGGAACCAATTTTCATCCTAGGTGACCTTGTGCTGTTGGGCACTACAAAAATGTTAACTTAGCAATGCGGTCTAATAAACTACTGATAGGTAATAATGAAGGTCAGGGGGGCTATTTCCCCCTACTATTTCTCTTTGCTCTCTTCTTTCCCCTTATTTTTGGGAGACAGGAGGGGGTTATTGAAGCACCTAGGTAGTTCTGAAAATAGAAGGAAACCAGAGGAGATAATTCTGTGCTTATTCAGCCCCTTATCACTTTCCTCTGTGCAGAATTATTCCAAAAACGATTGAGTAGGTTGCTTTAGAAACAATGCTTTCAAAATTTACTTCCTTTTTGTTTCGAGGTTGGGGGAAGGAGAGGTGTGATTGTGTTGGAAACAAGGGTGTGGGGGAAAGGAGCAAGTTCTTTGTTTTGATCAAATGTATCACTTCGTTTTCTACAAGCTATTTAAATTATAATTAAACCGCAGCAACCAACAAGGGAAAAAAAAGTAAGCCTGAGATAAGAGATGGAGCGGGAGACAAAGGGATTTATTTATTTATTTGTTTGTTTTTACGGATGGCCTAGCTAAGGTTTTTACCATACCATCCTTTCAGCCAGCTCTGCATTCAAAGTTAAATGCAATCCAGATCAGCCAAAGAATTTTGACCGGGGGGGGGGGGGGGGGTTGTTGCTTGCATGGAAGGTAATATACAGTCTTGAGAGAAAAAAAGGAAAAGAAAAGAGTATAACATTATATTTTGTCTCCCCACTCCAAAGATAAGCAGTCCTCTTTCCTCAAATTCAATGGCTTAAAAATCCAGAGTAGCACAGAAGAGAAATTCAGGAGCTGTGGGGTTTTCTATCACTTTCATATCCTTTACCTCAGCCTGCTGGCTAAGTCAATTTATGGCCTGAGATAAAACAGCATGTTTTCCCAGGATCAATAAGGCCATAAATATAAGTCAAAAAGACACTGGGGCAAATCAGAAGCCCAAGGCCACTTGTGTCCCCTGCTCTCCACTTTTTGGCATGGTCCCAAAAATTCCCCTTGATTTGTAATTTGGAATATGAGAATTACTAAACTCATGGGATTAATAATATTCATGGTATCAAATCAAACCTAATTCATAATAATAGCTCTGAATCTTAACACTGGCTCCAGCTGTTGGACTGTGGCTTCCTGTTGACAATCTCAGTGAAGGCCTTGGCCTTTGAATGTTGTGTATCTGTGCCATATAGAGCTAAGGTTTAGTTTAACAATCACACACCGAAGTGGGAAAATGATTATCCAGAGCAGGGGTGAGGCACTCTTACAACTTGTAGACCTCAACTTCCAGAATTCCTGAGCCAACTATGGCTGGCTCAGGAATTCTGGGAGTTGAAGTCCACAGCTCATAGAGTTGCTATAATTGCCCACTCCTGATCTGGAAGAACGACAGTGGGGACAATAAATGGTAAATACCGTTGACGGTCAGAGACACTTCTCGCTCTCCTGCACCCACACGTGGAACCACAGCACGGCACACATATTTCCCAGCATCTTCTTGGTGCACGTTTTTCAACGTTAGTGTGTTCTCATTGCTCAGGACCTGAAAAAGAAGAGAGTTTATTTCAGGGGACAGGTCCAAAAACCAAGAAGGCAAGAATGCCAATTCAATGTTCAAGAATGAAAGCAGCTGGATTCAGGCACTTTGCTAAGTTTGTTTTAAACATAATGTATCAGGCACAGCATCACCCTATGCCAGAAACCATGGTTTACAAATCACAAACAGTTCAAGGGCATTCATTCATATCCTGATACGTTTCAACAAGCAAGCCAATGAACCCCATTGTGTCTTAGCCAAGCATGGGAACCAACCACCAAGTCCAGCCAGTTAGGCAATATCTGTGCTAACAGAGGCACCTGAATCTGAGCTTTTGGCATGAAAAAATAGTCCTTCATTCTGAGTTATCTTCCCATCTCAGTTTGCCATCTGTTGCCTAGCGTGGATCTTCTCCTGGCTAGGCCTTCACTGTATTACATGGCTCCATTCTACTTTGCCCCATCTGTTTCTGCCTCTTTCCAGTATCTCCAACCATTCAGACAGCTCCATCCAAGTAGGAACCTCTCTTATCAGCATCCCAATGCTGATCACAAGCATCATTCTGCAGAAAGCTGGCTAAGCATTCAATGGCTTAGAGAATAACCAAGGCTTTATATATAGGTAGTCCTCGACTTACAACAGTTCATTTAGTGATCGTTCGAAGTTACAACATCACTGAAAAAAGCGACTTATGACCATTTTTCACACTTGCAAACAGTTGCAGCATCCTCATGGTCCTGTGATCAAAATTTGGATGCTTGGCAACTAGTTCATATTTATGACGGCTGCAGTGTCCTGGGATCATGTGATCACTTTTTGCAACTTTCTGACAAGCAAAGTCAGTGAGGAAGCCACATTCATTTAACAACCGTGTTACTAACTTAACCGCTGCAATGATTCACTTAACAGCGGTGGCAAGAAAGTTCATAAAATTGCGGCAAAGTTCACTTAGCAACAGAAATTTTGGGCTCAATTGTGGTCATAAGTCGAGGACTACCTGTATAATAAAATATTTGAGGGTTAAGTGCCCTTCGGTATTTCAGTGAGCTGTGATTTCCCTTTCTATTGCCCCATCCACCCTCTCATGCAGGAGACATTTAATTTTTTGCAACTTCTGGACAAGTTCAGCTCTTATTAGGACTTCTTCATATCACGGATTGCCCAAATATTCTAATGCCTCCTCTTTTTTCCCCTGAGAAATTGGATAAACGATAAGTAGTGGAACTACAACACTCAACAGCAAATATAAGTCTAAGAATTTTTGGAGGGTTATCCTCCACAACGGGAGAGCCCAGCCAGCTTGGGGAAGGGAAATAAAGAGTTTGTAAGAAAGAAGGAAGCGTCTTTGAATCTGTAAAAATTGCAAATCGTATTCCCCCGCTATTTTTTAGATGGAGGGGAGAAGGCCAAATTCCTAAAGCTATTGTGTCGATGAACATTTCATTTTCAAGGTCTGGACTGTATCCTAGCCAATGTCTAAAAATTCTCCAGTGTTTTTTTTCACATTATATTTCCAGGCAGAGGCATTACTATTTTGAGGTCACAGCCACCCTATTACAAGAGTATCATGAAAATCAGCTCCGTGTCATATAGCTGTGCTCCTGTTCCAGCTGCTTTGGCCCTTCTGGCATCCGCACTGCTAGCCATCCTGCCCTATAACCCACACTGGTGCAATCAACCATTTTATTAAAACTTCTTAAATGCTGAAGTAGGGAATTTTTGTGCAGCCCAGTCAGCAAAACGTGAACTCCTGTGATATTTGGAAATATGATGAGACTAAAACAAATATGCCCTTTAAGAGTCAACTTCTTCTAATTGCTTGTGGAATGGCTAATTTCCTATCTGTACAATTGGAGGACCGATCTGCAGCTCAAATAGACAGGCATTAAGCCCTTATGCTGGGATCTGCATACTGGGTGGTGGGCTCCCTTCACCTATCTGGACAGAGCAAGCTGGAACATCTGCTCTCTTTCTCCGGTAGAAATTTGGACAGCATCCCTTTGGGCCTGGTTCCTTTTGCCTTTCTGGTATGTGTTTGCTCTGTAAATATAACCCAGCATGTTCTCTATCTGGCACCATTGAGTGTCTGATCATAGAGCCAACTCCGCTGCACAGATGGGGAGTTTACACTGATATTTAGCAAAACACATAAATGCCTTTAGCAGTAGTGAAAGTTATATTGCAAAGGCATCTTATATCAAAACCAGTGAGACTGGGAAAGGATTGCAATTTAAAGCATGTTTTGGCTTGTTTCTTTTAGATGCTCAGAGTGAAGCTCATACAAAGCAATCTGTTTGTGAGTGCAGATGGGCCTAGGGCCAGCAGTGGTGGTGGCAGCGGCAATGTGGGCCTCAAAGGGAAGGACCATGTGCCCCTTTCCACCTTCCATAGGTGCTGACCTAGATGGGTAGGGATGGCGGAGAAGTCAAAGGAGCGAGTGTGCTGATGAAGAACAGCCTGGGAGATTGCAAGGCCTGGCTGAAGAACTGAAGAGTAGCTGAAGCTGTTTGTTCCTTGTTATATGGATTATTAGAGCCAAGTTGCTTTCCTGGACAGTAGTGGCCACAGGTTGATATTCAAAATCATAGGGGTTTCATCTCTTTTTCATTATTTTTATTGTTTTATTCCACCTTTATTATTTTAATAAATAACTCAAGTTGGTGAACCTAGCTAACACTCCTTCTTCTTATTTTCCCTACAAAAATAACCCTGTGAAGTGAATTGAGCTGAGAGACAGGGACTACTAGCCCAAAGTCAGCCAGCTGTTTTCATACCTAAGAGAGGATTAAAAACCACAGTTTCCTGGTTTAGTGGTTTCTAGCTACTATTGTGTGGTTCTTCAACTGACTTCTAATTTGATCTATCCAAGGCCACTTTAAAGGATGGACTGGATCAGAAAAGAGAGAGAGGAGGGAATGCACCAAGGGATGCTAATTTTTGTGTGTGGAATTAATGGGGGTGGGGGGTGGGGACCCAAAGGCCAGAAATATTTTTGTGGAAATGGAATACAGACTGCATGTGTTGCAAGAAAGTTTAGTCTGATGTCTTAAGATCAAGAAATAGATAATTGGGAAGATGTCTGAGAACCTCTGCTGCTCTTTCTTATCTTTCAGCAAGGTATACTAAAGCTCTGAGATGGAGGACAGGTTCCTATATTGAGAATCTGATTAAGGCTGACCCTTATGTGTGTGAGCATTGTGGGAATGGAGGGTGGCAGGTTCCATACAGTGATACTGTATTCAAATCTGTATCATGAGTCTATGCAAAAATATGTAATGCAGGGAGGCTTTTTCAGTGTTCTTGACCAATGGCATCCTTGTTGCATATAGACAGTATAGGCTTCAAATTGCACAGGAGAAGGATTTGGTTGCTAGCCACCATTCTTTTGGGCACTGTACATACAGAAGGAGGATTCTATTGCTCTGAAAGGACATAAATTTAATCCTGCTGAAGGACGTCTATTAATATGCCAGTTTATTTATAAAAGAAAAATGAAATTCTGGATTCCATCTATTCTTGACTGAAGCTGATAAATATATTCATGCTTTTCCAGCACTTGATTATAGTGTAAAATAGCTGCTTCTGTGTGGACTGACTCTGTCAAAAGACATTATTTTTAAGGGAATGTAACTGCTCTGTTTTTATGATAGATAGATAGATAGATAGATAGATAGATAGATAGATAGATAGATGATAGATATAGATAGAGTTATAGATAGAGTAGAGATAGATAGAGTAGAGATATAGATAGATAGATAGATATAGATAGAGTTATAGATAGAGTAGAGATAGATAGAGTAGAGATAATAGATAGATAGATAGATAGATAGATAGATAGATAGATAGAGATGGATGGATAGATGGATGGATAATAGATAGATAGATGATAGATAGAAAAATAGAAACAAAGAAAGAGGATAGCTAGCTAGAGAGATAGAGAGATAATAGATACTAACATGGATGGATAGATGGATTGGTGGGTGGGTGGATGGATGGGTGGAGATAGATTAAAGGAAAGATAATAGATGAGAGACAGATGGACAGACAGACAGGTGGATAGATCGAACCACTAAGATATGCAAAGACATCTTTGGATTCTGTGGTGTGAAATGTTTACAAGAGCATGCATCATCCTAAGTAGAGAAGAAGCTCCAGAGCAAATCTCCGCCTTAGCTTGGGCTGCTCACAATGAGTGTGCAATGTAGTGATAGTTTACAAAAGCTTCACCTGCCACAAAGAGATTAAATGAGGCTTTGGCCTTTAGTTAACCTGGATGTTGCTCATAATGGGAATCTGTTCAGTTTCTATTAGGACTATTTTGTGAAGCTGCCCTTTGCAAGCAGAAATGCGCCAAGAGCTGTGAATGCCATGGAAACCTGTCCTTTCCATTTGTATTAGGCCAGTTACATAAATCAACCTTCCCGACCTCTGCATAGTCAAACATTTCTGCTTCTCTTAATTTAACTATAAGGACCTACCAATTCAACTCGGGGGACTATCATTGCCTAGTAGTCTAGCTTAGGATGATATACCATCTTGATTGCTCAAGAAGACTCCTACTAAAGCAGGATGTTACTGGATGATTTGAGCACAGCAACACTGCTTTCCTTCCACCCCTTTAGCCATTAAAGAGAAGGAGGCTGTTGTAGGGAGCATAGGGAATGCCCTTGAAGGATAGGAGGAATTGCTGCTACTAAGCCAATAGTCAGATAAGAGGGAATGGAATCTTGGCCAAGAAAATAACTTGAGAAAACATATCAGACAAGCCCCTATTTCATATGAAGAGAAAGCCAGGGAGGAGGAAGCACATTGAGGTTTGCACAATTCTCTTTCTGTAGCTGTAACAATAAAGACAGTCCTGACTTATCAAGCATTCATGTCTCAGTCTGGTCTACTTTGTAAGATCGACGTGTGTTGAGGAAGTCTCCATGGGTCAGTGGAGAATCCAGGTGGAGCAGAATACGCTTCTCTATTCCAATCCTAAAGATGACTTCCTTTCCTGTAATTTCCTGGGGCTCAACTTGGAAATCATCTCTGTAGGTCCTTGTAGATTCTCCAAAGCACCAGAGGGCAGGACAAGAAACAATGGTTGCAACTAGTCAAAGAGAGAAGCAACCTGGAATTAAGGAGAAACTTCCTAACAGTGAGGACAATTAACCAGTGGAAAAGCTTGCCTGCCTTCAGAAGTTGTGGGTGCCGTTCAATCTAGATATTTCTAGATTGAACAGCCAAGAAGTAGATGCAGACAGAGATAAAGATCCAAGAGAGGAATATGGGGGGCAAGTCAAGAAAAGCATAGCAATTAAAGTATTGAAGCAGGCAAGAGACGATAGATAGATGATTTCTCCTTTTTGTTGTTGTTTGGATTTGCTTTTCTTTTTCTCTCACTTTCTTTTCTTTTTTAGGTAGGTGACATGACTAGAAGTTATGTAGGACAGAAAGAGCCTTGGTACTACAGTGGTTTAAAGCACCCTGTTATTAACACAGCTGCCTGCAATTTACTGCTGGTTCGAATCTCTCCAAGGCTCAAGGTTGACTCAGCCTTCCATCCTTTCTAAGGTAGGTTAAATGAGGACCCAGTTTGTGGGGGCAATAAGCTGACTTTGTATAAATATACAAAAGTATGAAGGCTATTGCTTAACGCACTGTAAGCCGCCCTGAGTCTCCGGAGAAGGGCGGCATATAAATCAAATTAAAAAAAAAAAAGAAAGAAAGCATTTTTTAATAAAGGGTGACATGATTAAAAGTTAGAATAAGAGATAGGAATAAGAGAAGGGGGAATATTAGTGTATATACTTTTATATAATAAAATAAAAGCAATAACGAGAAAACAAGGAATAATTGGATAATGACAGACTGCAACTTAATATAAATGTGTATTATTAATAGAAATATATAAGTTGATTGAATGTAATAACTATGATTAAGTCTACTAGTTTTAGTCATATTAGAATATATGACACTCAGGTGCCACACTGTTCACGTATTGATATGTTTGTAAAAAAAATAAAAAACTTTTTAAAAAAAGTTGTGGGGGCTTCATCACTGGAGGTTTTTAAGAAGAGTTTGAACAGCCATTTATCTGAAATGGTATAGGGCTGTGATGGTGAACCTATGGTACATGGAGCCATATCGGGGGCACGCGAGCGTTGCCCTAGCTCAGCTCTAGCGCGTGTGCACCAGCCAGCTGATTTTTGGGCCTTCTGGCCCACCAGAAGTCATGAAACAGGCTGTTTCCAGCCTCTGGAGGGCCTCCGGGGGTGGGTGGGTATGGGGGAAGGCCCATTTTCACCCTCCTCAGGCTCTAAGAAAGCCTCTGGAGCCTGGGGAGGGTGAAAAATGGGTCTACCGGGCCCACTGGACCATCACATGCCAAAAGCGGGGGGAGTACAGGGGGGGTTGTGCACACATGCGTGTCAGGATGGGCCACATTGAATTATGGATGTGGGCATGTACGCGCACAATCCCTCCCCCGCGCTCCCCCCACTTTTTTCACACAACGGCAAAAAGATTAGCGATTACTGGTATAGGGTCTCCTGCTAACATGGGGCTGGACTAGAAGACCCCCAAGGTCCCTTCCGGCTTCATTCTATTTTACATTTTAGAGCGTGAAACTTCTCCTTTCCATAGAAGGAGGAATGCTACCAGTAATGAATCAAAACATGCTGGCCTCTGTGTGGGACTTTCCTTTCCCCCTTTAGATCACTGAAGAGGAGTTGAATGTTTTTAGAATGCTCTACATATTAAAAGTCACATGTCTTTTTGATAAGTTATGGAGACTTTCCCTGACACAAAGAGTAAGAATAAGAATGTACTAGGTGAGTGGTAGACCAGCAAGGCATCAATAAGCTCTTTAACCTGTCCTCAAACATCTGGCCAGTTTTCAGCAGCATTGCCCATCATTCTTACCACACCAGAGCCCCTCTTCATCCAAACGATGGTCAGAGATGGGTTTCCAATCCAGGCACAATTAAATATGGCATCGGATCCAAGATCGACAAGAAGAGACTGTGGTTCCGTCATCATGCGTGGCCCAACTGAAATAATAAAAAAAAAATTGTTGCAGGACAGGGTAGCCTCTAAGATTTAAAATAGTCATCACAAAAAATATGAAAAAGAAAGAACCCCCAAAGGAACATTATAGCTCAAGCACTGAGTTTGAATATATTCTTCTTGCTCTTGTGGCCACCTCTTCTGTTAGGGGAAGTATTGTTATTAAAATCAATTATCTTTGGCATATGGTTCTCAATTTCTGACTTGGTTATTTTTTTATCAGACTATCTTGTTTTCTAAAGAAGCATTCAAAAGTTGCATCCCCATCAATTGGTCCATAGCCAGTTTTTGCCCTGCAACGCCCCCCCCCCACGCCTAACACAAGGTGTTAAGTGTGTTGAACAATGTTCTAGCAGATCAGTAGTTGAGCCATACTTACAATAGACATCGACTGTTCTGCTGATGTTGGTACTGCCCAGAGCATTGGTCACCTCACAAGAGATGGGTTCAAAGAAATAGGTGAAGTCGACAATGGTCTCATAAGCATCACTTGATGCTTCCTTTATAATGTGGCCCTTTTTGGCCCACCTGTGGAGTAACAACAAAGAAAATACCAGGGTTGTGTTAAGATGGTCTACACGGAGAAAGCGAACTTCACCTTTATGGAAGAGATAAGGCAGGAGATTAAAAACACAACTGAAGATAAGCAGTCAGAGATGAAATTGGATGTTAGATACTGCTGAAGTCTGATGCTTATGAATAAATTGCAATATGGAACCCATGTAAAATACCAAGTTCCTCCAGTAATTTTCTATGTATCAACTAAAACATTTGTTTTCAGTGACTTGCAGGGAGAAGGAGAAAACTGCTGGATCAGCCATTCAGTCAATCCTTGCTTTGTTTTAAATTATAGATAAGTGTAAAACTACTGGATCAGCAAAGAAAGGCACCCATGGCACACAAATTATTTATTTCATTTTGAAAGTTTATATCCTGGCTTTCTTCCATCGTGGAACAAGATGCAGGTCAACCAGGGGTGATGAGACTGGTAGCTGTTTAGTTTCAGTGAATTCATTGTGCACGATGTCCTGGGAATTTGCCGAGGGAAGCATCCATGATGGCTTTCAGATTCTGTTGGTCCTCTCAAGGCAATTTGGTTTTTTATCCACTGATTTAACAGTAAAACAATTGTGTATTCCTGATGTATTCTTCTTCATTACTAAATGTCTCTGAGCATGTAGTATAGAAGAAGTCTTGTGCATATTGTACTGTATGACTGTCATTGGGTGTTGTGCCTTGTGATTCTTGACGAGTGTATCTTGTCTTTTTATGTACACTGAGAGCAGATGCACCAAAGACAAATCCCTTATGTGTCCAATCACACTTGGCCAATAAATTACTCTATTCTATTCTGTTCTGTTCTGTTCTGTTCTGTTCTGTTCCGCTCCGTTCCGTTCCGTTCCGTTCCATACCATACCATACCATACCATACCATACCATACCATACCATACCATGGAATAGAAAACCTAGGTTTAAGTCCCAGTGGACCATAAAATTCATTGTGTGACTTCAGGTCAGTTACTACTTCTTCACTCAGTTTGACTCATTGGATCATTCTGAGATTTCAGTAAAATAAGGCCAGTTGAACAAGGAAATCAACTTTCCTTATAAAAAAAAGTACAGGGGGTGACTAAAAGGGGGAGATAAATAACTAGCTGAAAACAAATAAATTAAGATGTTGGAAAAATCCATGAATTCCTTACTCTGGAAACAGGTGGGACAATTCTACATTTCCCCCCCCTCACAGTGCTCTTTTATCTGCAGCTGAAGATCAAGTGACTCACTGGGGACAGAGCTATGCGATAGAAAAGAGAACACAAGTATTTTTCTATCTCTTCATCCTTTCAGACTTGGGTTAGGGAGAAAAGATAAATGACCAGCTAAATGATCTAAATTCTCCTCCTGGGTTGTGGAGGTTGATTGAAGATTCTTTGGGCTCTTTTGGATCCACGGTCCCAACTGCTCAACTCTTTCCAGACTAATTCAACCATCTTTCTTTCTCCTTCTTCTAAATGTTGCCGTTTCAAACATCACTGAAAATGGAAGCTAGAGGCTCAGAAAAGGATGAAGGTCATTGCCTCATATCCTCTGCAGTTTCAATTCAATGAGTGGGAATTCCAAATTATATTAGGACCCCAGAGTTACCACCTAAAGGATTAGGGACTGCACTTAAGTAGCATATTTGCACTGGCTTGGTAGCAACCAAAGGTTAGCTGGGAAGGGGAAAAAAATTGAAGAAGAAAGAATTTGCATTAACATGTAATTCATGCAACCAAGCCATCCATTTTAATGGATGGAAGACTCCAAAAATCTTAGAATACACGTGACGTTTTTGCACTTTTGCTGCACATGAGCAACTCTTCTAAGATTCTAATTCTGTGGACATTTTGCCAGGATGCCTCACCTTTTGCTTGCCTACAGATGGCTAAATCTGTGGATAGCATGGATTTCAAATATGTCAGTAGTAGAAGATGATGCTGAGCTATCTCCTGGGGTTGAGACCATCTGTAATGCTGATTCCAACTAAGACATACTAGAAAGTCCATCCATCTCTGCTAACTGAACAAGGCTTTCTTTAATTGACTCTTTTTTCCCACCATTATATAACCTGTTGTTCCTGGCAGTGAAGCAGGCCAACACCAACAGTTTTTTGTTATCTATGAAATACGTGTGTAGGATGTGTAGTCTTTTGGCACATTTCTTAAACACAATCCCTGAAATAAATTGGAGGAAGCTGTAGCTTAGTGCCAGCATGCATGATTTATATGCAAAAGAAAAAAAAATGTGGAAGAAATAAAGATTTTAGTGCTTTGTCTAGACCTGAATCTCTGTGTATTCAACCATGTTTGTGTGTCTGAATAAAAGTGACACTCCTGTTATTTCCTCCTTTTTTATAGCTATATGACAGTTAAATCCATGTGGACAATGCTTGGATTAGAAGAAAGAAATAATCCTAGATATTTTATGGATCTACCTCTAACTTGCTAAGCATGAACCATTCTTCAATTTAGAAAATGTAGAACCATTTAGAAAATTATGTAAAAAAAAAAAAAAAGAATCAGCATATTTTTGGAAAGCTACAGCTCCACTGGTGTTAAACTAGTGCATTTCATAGGAAGTTACGTAATAAGGGGTTGCAAGCAACCTTGGAGAAAAATGGCCCGAGATATGTAACAAGTAACTCTATTGTAGAAAGACACACCACAGATTAACCTAATTGGTTGTGGAATTATTTTTCTTGCTGTTGTATTTAAACATCATTTTGCTTGACCGATGGGACTGAAATGACCATTAATGTCTATGGAGATTCTCACAATAGAATCCCTTATGCCACCAGGATTGAAATTTTGGGCTTGGACAATCTGGAACTGCGCCGCCTGCGGTCTGGTACACAGTACACAAAATTATCTGCTACAATGTCTTACCTGTCAACAATTTCTTCAGCTTCAACCTCAATAATACACGGGCAAACAATCGGTACAAACTCAAGGTAAACCGCTCCAAACTCGATTGCAGAAAATACGACTTCAACAACAGAATAGTCAATGCCTGGAATGCTCTACCTGAGTCTATTGTTACATCCTCAAACCCTCACAACTTCAACCTTAAACTGTCCATCACCCTCACCCCATTCCTAAGAGGTCCATAAAGGGGGCATGCATAAGCGCACTAGCGTGCCTACCATCCGTGTCCTACTGTCCCCATTTATTTGTATTCATTTCTTTTGTTCATATCCATGTTTATGTTTATACCTCTATCTTGTACATGTTTGACAAACTAATAAATACAAATACAAATACAAATTCTCAGTCATCCAGATTAAGGTTGTCCCAAAGGTTCTTTCTTTCAAAAGACAACTTTGAGGATTTGAGGGAGGAGAAGGAGGTCCAGACTTTGTGGACCAGAAGGGCTTCTTTAAATTCCCATTGTCAGGTGTGAAGAATCAGGACCACACATTAAGTTCCAGTTAAGAAGATGTATTGCTCGTCCTATATTTTATTGACATTTATTTGTCAAAGGAAAATTGCAAATTTGAACGAGCAAAATGAAAACATTTAAAATGTGACAGGGATGATAGGCATGTTAATGCACTTACACACACACACCCCCTTAGGAACCTCTTAAATATGGGGTGAGATCAGAGGTGGGTTTCAGCAGGTTCTGACCAGTTCTGGCAAACTGGTAGCAGAAATTTTAAGTAGCTCGGAGAATTGGTAGTAAAAATTCTTACTGGCCCCACCCCCATCTATTCTCTGCCTCCCAAGTCCCAGCTGATCGGGAGGAAATGAGGATTTTGCAGTAACCTTCCCCTGGATTGGGGACAGAATGGAGATTGTACAGTATCCTTCCCCTGGAGTGGGGTGGGAATGGAGATTTTACAGTATTCTTCCCCTGCCATGCCCACCACACCACGCCCACCAAGCCATGCCACACCCACCAAGCCACGCCCACAGAACCGGTAGTAAAAAATTTTGAAACCCACCATAGGGTGAGATCCACAGAATTTAAGTTAGAATAAAACTGTGATAGTTAGTAGCTGAGACAACTGAATACACAAGAATCTGGTCAACTAACAGTCAGCACTAAATTGGTGCTAGATAAGAGTCAATGAAATTCAAGGAGGGACTGGACTCGGATCACTTGTAGCAACAGAATGAGTCCAGGCAGATTCCTCTCTTGACTCAACCCCAGATACTGCACTTCTTCTCCTACACCATAGCACAGGGGTGTCAAACTCAAGGCTGGGGGCTGGATCTGGCCCACGGGGTGCTTAGATCTGGCCCATGGGGCCACCCTGGAAATAGCGAAGGACCGGCCCACAGTGCCTCTGCCAGTGAAAACGGAGCTCACGAGGGCTGCGTGTGGCCAAAAACAGAGCTCGGGAGCCCATTTTCACTGGCAGAGTAGTCAGGCACCACAGGCGCAGACACAAGTGACATCGAGCTGGCCATGCCCACCCTAGCCTCTCAAGGTCGAACACAACCCTGATGTGGCCCTCAATGAAATTGAGTTTGACATCCCTGCCATAGCTCATTCTAATAGGCTGGATTTTAAGCTCATAATGTGGAACTTTCCGTCTCTGCTTGCCTGAGTACAGAGGTCATGTAGTACTCTTGGCATTCATAGGAACGTTTCAACTTCCAAACTCCAAAATCAAGAAGGACCATTTGATATGGGAGCTATTTTATCAATGGATAGATAATAAAGTATGGAGATGAAATATTTTATATGAAATGAAATTTGGATAAAATGTTTAAGCACTTGTTTTTTTGTTAGAGGTAAGAATATCTGTCATATAATGAGAGTTTGAAAATTTTGAGAGCACAAAATGATTTTCACCGATCGAAATACTGTCTGTAAGTGTTTGGAAGGCTGATGTTTTTATGTTGTTTCTGTTTAAAAAATAAAAAAAAAATTGCAAAAAAATAAAAAATAGTAAAATAAAATAAAATAAAAATATATAAAAAAAGAAAGACCATTATGCAAAGAAGGCCCAACCTGGCTGAAAGAATTCAGTCCAGAGTCT